CAAGGACACAACTGGGTGTGGCGATGACTCACAAGACGCACCTCTCATCCTTAAACCATATCTATATATACTATAAAATATACATATATATGTATACATATATATATATATATATACGTATGTATATATATATATATGTATCTCTCTCTCTCTCTGTTTAGAGGGCCGTAGAAGTAGGTGATCTTTGGCCGTCAGCTTGACGGCTTAGAAGGCTTAACGATGCGAGGGTTCAGAGTGCTGCAGACTTGGTCCTAGCTTCCTGCAAATCTACCAAGACTCCAATACCTTAAGCCCAATGTGTCCGGTCTAGGGCTTAAAAGCCCTGAGCCCTAATTATACCCTGGAACCTAAACCCTAAAGCCCAAACCTTGAATCCCCAAAGAGTCAAAACAAGTCAAGGCGCTCCAAAACTCGCTGCACGTTGCTAATGTAGAGTCACACCAGGCTGCTGCCACATCTGCGAGCAGTGCGCATCAGGGGTTGAGGGTTACGGAGTATAAGATGTCGGGCTTATGTCTTGGCGTGCAGCTTGGCGGGGGTGTAGGCTTCAGGGCTTGTAAGTCTCTGGTTTGGCTTTATGGCATTGGGAGCATGTCTGACAGTTCAAAGGTAGACTTCTGTGATTTGGGTGTTGTTGTCGTTGTTGGTGTTGTGGCTGCATGTTGCTGGAGCTGTCAAGGTTCAGTCGCGCTGAAGGACAGGAGAATCGACTACAACCTGGGATGGTGAGTGTGGAGTATCCCATTACGCAGTCCACACTGCATCTTTTTGCCGCCAAAGCTGCTACATGCTGTGTTTTCTTGTTCAAGGAGGAAACGAACACGGTTTAATCACATGCAAACTCAAACACGCGACCCTAACACGAACATTAGAGGTAATCTCTAGATCCCTCAGACCGCCCTAAGCCCTTAACTGTAGGACCTTGACTCTAAAAACCCCGAAGGCCTGAACCCTTGAATTCTAAATACCAAAACAAAGAAGCCCATACCATGCGGATTGTGTTGTGGGGTATGGGGTTTAGGGTTTAGGGTTTAGGGTTTAGGGTTTAGGGTTTGGGTTTCTTTTACGAGTGCGTCAGGCTTTGTCATGAGCGACGAGACAGAAACAACAGACGGGTGCTGTTACTCTCACGGGATCGACAGAACAAGACCCCACACAAAAAGATCCTACACTTACACGACCCTTATAAAGCCCTACCTAACGCACATCTATATACTCCAATTCCTAGACGGTCCAAGTAATTACCCAAAAAGTAATGTATACTAGTTGGGTACTTGGGCCTATAGAACCCTCGTGCATTCTTTTTGACTCTGTATAAACCCGAGACCTGAGATCCTGCTATGTAAACACTATGTAGAGCCTGAGCCCTAGAATACCCCTTGTGGAAGCCTTTAAAGGAACCCTTACTGGAACCCTATTCTACTGACTAATGCCCCAACAAAACAAGCCTAAACCCCTAAACTCGTAAGCCCCACCACTCCAAGCTCCACAGCCCCAAACCCCGAAACCCTAAACCCTAAAACCCTAAACCACTAAACCCTTAAACCCTAAACCCTAAAACCCCCAAACCCCGAAACCCTACGATTTGGAGCTCGGGATCCGAAACTGGGGCAAGGCACGTCTGGCGGGAGTTCCCCGCAGAAGGACATCCTGACGAAACTGGATGAGTGGAGTTTGGGAACCCTAAACCCTGAACCCCTAAACCCTAAGTCCTAATTAGGGCTTCGGGGTTTGATAATTAAGGCGACAGGGTTTAGGGTTTAGGGTTGGAAGACTTTTCAACTATATTAGGGGCCTCAATACCCAAAGGGACCTAGGTAACCAAATAGGTTCATTTTCGGGTTTGGGGCTTTAGGTTTCCTTTAAGGGTTCCTAAGTTCTTATATAGTAGAATGTAAGGATTCTATAATAGGAATTGCTCTTCTGGCTTAGGCAAGTATCCCTCATATAGGTTAGGTACTTAGGACCTTTTGCGATAATTAGAATAGGGTTTCGCCGCCGTAATAAGGAACCCTGAAGGAACAATCTTTGTCTTCTTACTTTTGGCTTCTCTATTACATATGCTGGCCCTCCTCCAACAAAGAGAGTTGATGTAACACTTCCTATTTGCACAGGAAGGATTCGGGCCTCGGGGTTTCTGCAGGATTCCGGCTCGAGGGTTTCGTGCATAGGCTAGGACCCTGAAATCGGGGTCAGGGATTTTCGGATGGAGAAATTCAAGCTCCGGTCCGTTTCCCTAAACATGTTGGCAGACTCAAGGCCCAGGTCATAGTTTCGCACCTGACACTCTGAAGTCTAAAGCGCTAGAGCCCTAAAGCCCGAAACCCTAAAGCACTCTACAGTACTACACCCTAACGCACTACAGTCCTGAAGCCCTAAATCCCAAAACAGCGGCAACCGTAGTTGCGACAAAAGTCCCCCGCTTGTCGCAGTGGCTACATTGAACGCCATCTCAACAGCAAGCTCGAGCTTTTCGCATGCTCTCAGGCAGATGAAAGCACCCACGGCAGCTACCGACAAATTAAAGGAAACTACAGTGGGGGAGTTTAGGGTATATAGGGCTTCTATAACGTTTTTTGAGGTATATAGACCCTCTATAAGGCTCCTATAACGATAACTACCCACCTGAAAAATGTCCTAGAACAAGGCGACGAAACTACTCGTGGAGAACGCTCGCGCTCCGGCTTGTGCTGAGCATCTGGCAGCATCTGGGCAATGCCTTTGCTAACGTGGAACTCGTAGCATTGTTATGACCTTAAGTCCTAAACCCTAAACTGTAAACCCTAAGCAATAAACCCTATACCCTCAACCCTAAAGATAAGTTGGACAAACGAATGCCAACCTGACTATCTGACCAAATGCAGCAAGGCGCTCAGTGTAGGTTCTCAGGGCCCCGGGCGTCTAATGATCTCAGGGCCTTGCATGGATCTAGCCCTAAGGCTCCAAGTACCTAATAATCATATACTCAGAAACCTAGATAACTACTATCCGCAACCAAAGTACCTTATTACCGGGTCCTTTGGACCCTTAGGGTAGGGGGTGTGCCTGAGTCGAAGGTCCTGAAACTCGGCAGATTTTCCTCTGATCCAACAGGCCCAGAACTTTCTGCTTCCATAAGGAGTTCAGACTTTCATACCTAGAGCAAGCAGAACAGAACCCCAACCCCTAAATCTTAATGCAGGGGCCTAAATAATTGGAATAGGGTTTTGGGACCCCCTTACACTATAATTATAATAAAGAACCCCCAAAATAAATATGATAAGGAACCCCCCAAAATAATATAGGTAATTATTAAGGCCCCTATTAGGTCTGCAGGAGAAGCCCTGAATTGGGAGTCTGTCCTGCGGCGCCTCCGGAACGGACCGGACTTGATCCAATTTCCTGAGATGCAATGACTTAATCTACCAAAACCTACCTTTTTTTGTAGGATCCCTGTACAATCCATATTCGGGTTTATAATAAGAACCTACAAAAAAGTCGGGTTTGGTAGTTTAGGGTATGGCTTGTATTACACCGAAACCCCGAGCGTCCACCCTCCCTATATTTCAGAGTGCATAAGATATAGGCACGCGGACCCTTAGGGACACGACAACCATAAACCCCAAAATGACAGAGGTTTCGATTTTGGGGGGTGTAGATTAGTTCTGCTACACAGCCACAAGGCAGCATGAGGGTGTAAACCTCGGTTCTCTATATCTAATTTCCTGAGTTACCCCTTTATAATAAGGGTACCCTATTTTCCTAGTGTTCGGTTTTAATAAGGGAGCCATGCAATAACAAGGGCAAAGGGGCACTACTCAGGAACCTATATTGAAATGTGGGGTTTAGTACTGCTCAACAGCCCACAGCAAGCACCACACGGCAAGGAATCGAATGTAGGAGCTTTGATAATTAAAATGAGGATCTGGTGTCCTTTATAGCATTATATATATATATATGCAGGAACCCCCAAAACAATATGGGTAATTATTACCCTAAGGCTCAAAATAGCCCAAAAGCCTTTTATAGTAGGGTCTTTGAGCCCAAGAGCCTTAAAATATGAGTCCTCAGAGCCTTAGGGTTAAGGGTTTAGGGTTCAGGGTTTAGGGTTTAGGGTTTAGGGTAAAACAATATAGGTAATTATTAAGGCCCCTATATATTATCCAGGGAGCGCCGCAATTTCTGCATACGTCTCTGCTGTTTCCGGAAGCTGCGGATGCAGGTTTCGGGTTGTAGGTTTTAGGGTTTAGGGGTACGGGTTTAGGGTTGTAGGTTTTAGGGTTTAGGGTTTCGGGTTGTAAGTTTTAGGGTTTAGGGAATTGTTGGGCCTGCGGCTTGGCAAAAAGGGTGCCGGGTTGAGAGCATCAAGGTGGAACTAAGACTTACAGCCATAGTAATACTGATATTTTTTCACAAAGTTGCATTACATTATCTAGAACTACGCACGGGTTTAGGGTTTAGGGTTCAATGCTTGCTTGTCAGAATGATGGGGCTCCTATGGGTATATGTTGCTGCCAGACCCAGTAAGCTATGGTGACATACGGATTTGCTTCGGTGAGCAGCAACACTTTCATTTCTGCAGCTTGACGGGCCAGGTGCGTAGAATCCTAGAGCATGATATGGGGGTCTTTAAGAATATGGCTTTGGGGAAAAGTATATGACAAACCATAACAATAAGGAGCCACACTTGTTCGGGCCCCCTCATTTCCTGGGCGCCAGTGCCAGCGTTGCTGCAGTATGGTCGAACAAACAAGACGAAAATAATATAGAATCAGAGTATTCACATGGAGTGATGAACCAAAATGTCCTTAAACTCCTACATGGTCGCAGCCGACAATTAGCCGCGCAAACCTGGACCCTAGACTGTAAACCCTATACTCTCCTATGCCCGAAACAGCTGCAAAGCCCGATCGCCTCGAAGTTTATTTGAGCCGAGAGTCCGATTTGCTTCTGAAGCCATGGCCGGGTCAATGTGCCTTGGGATTATTCTGAATAACATGTGTATATGTGCGTATATCAGTACATATACGTAACTATTTTTGGCTAATATTCATGTATATCTATAAATCATGTGTATAAATGTATATCTATACATGTATGTACGTATGTGTATATATATATATAATGTGTATGTAGCTTGGCAAATGTTTATGCGCACATACATTTAGGATTTCGATGGCTTTAGGGTTCAGGGTGCAGCCCACAGCCGGATTATATATATATATATACACATCGGAATAAGCTTATTCAGGCAACGTTGAAGTAGCAGTGAAACCTTGAACCCATAACACATATGCCACTTCGCCTTACAACACGACACCTTATCAACAGCCTACCGAAAACAAATTCCACCCCAGCACTTCAAAAATGCCTTTTAGTGCATGCCTGAGCTTCCGCGGTCTTTAATTACTACCCAGTCCTGACATTGAATTGTGATAGTCCCCAGCGTCCAAGTTCTATCTGCATCCCTAAATCCTAACCCTCTAATGTAGAGGCCTCAACAATTATAGCACAGTTTTGGGGCTCATTGTAATACAATGAGAAATGACACCCCTCCCCCCCTCCAAACAAAAACAGTATTGGTAATTCTTTAGGCCCCTGTATCCCCATTGGACTGAAACCTGCACATGAACCCGACCCTTGAAGCCTAATCACCTGCATGGCAGCATACTGTCTTTGCGGGCGTACAATTACCCCAAACATGCTTTGGGGAACTACACAAGGAAGTCATAGTAAGGAACACTACAATCTTGATTAGGTTTCTTACTTGGGGCTAGGGTAGGGCTGATAGACACTCCAATCCCACAGCACTATACCACTCTCGAGCCGTGTCCCAGTGTCTAAGAATCCAATATGCAATCTGCAGCCCTCAGCTCCTAAACCAAGATCCTAAATTAAACCCAAAACAAGACGACCCAAACCCAAGACTCTAAAACATGCAAGCCACCCTAAACCCCTTCCAGCTCCCTTCTAGAATCCTTTGCACGACGGCTAAAGCAACCCCAATGGAAGCCTGAAGCCTAAACCGTAACATACAATCGAGATACTTATACTTATACAGTTATAGCATTCCCTGAAACTCGTCATAGCATGCGCTTTTAGTCCCTGTACTAAACAGTTGTAACTAATACACCCTATCAAGGAATCCTTAAAAATAAGACCCCTAGATAAAACGGCCCTAAACCTGCAAAAATCCTTAGTCTAGTTCTTAAGGTCCCTAAAGTCATGCCAGGCTGCAGCGTTTGATCTGCCTCCACTGCAGCACATCTGCCCACCTCCTAGACTTTGAGATAACCAGGGACAAGAAAAATGAGCACAAACTTGAAATTCATAATGGTTCCTTTACGGAACAGATTTAAAAAAAAAACCTATAACCCTAAACCCTAAACCTTAAACGCTAAACCCTAAACCCTAAACCCTAAACCTTAAACTCCAAACCCAGGTCTCGGAAGCGCAGGTGGCGGAGATGAGGTCGAAGTTGGAGATGAGCCTTGGCTTTGGCGTCGGTGACCGCTTTGGGGCTTTTAGGTTTGAGGGTTTCGGTTTAGGGTTTAGGGTTTAGGGTGTAGGGTTTAGGTTTGAGGGTTTAGGGTTTGGGGTTTAGCATATCTAAACCCACAAAAGGAGGTAAAACAAGAATGGCCCAAGAATTCTAAAGGTCTAAAAGCTATTATTCTACATATTTGTGGGGTCCAGGTCGCTACGCAAAAACCCTAAGCTCAGGGAGAGGTGCGTCCTTTCCTGAGCTCGGAGTAAGGTTTACGTAGAGTGTAGGACCTTAATAACTAGAATAAGGCTTTGGGGTAG